TGAGTCAGATGCTGAACATGTTCCTCTCTGTTCCTTGAATAACTAGAATATCATCAAGAAACACAATGACAAACTAATCTAAGGACTACCTGAATACCCTATTCATCAAGTCCATAAAAATAGCAAGTGAATCGGTTAACTCAAATGACATGACCAAGAATTCATAGTACCCGTACCAAGTTTTGAAAGTCGTCTTGAGGATGTCCTCTACCCTTATCTTCACCTGATGGTTGTCCAAACGTAAGTCAATCTTAGAAAAAACTTAAGCACTCTATAATTGATCGAAAAGATCATCGATTCTAGGGAGGGGGTACTTGTTCTTGATTGTGACCATGTTCAATCCCATGTAGTCGATACACAACCTCAAAGACCCATCACCTTTCCTGGCGAACGTGACTCCAGCACCCCAATGAGATATACTGTATCAGATGAACTCATTATCCTACAATTCTTTGATCTGTTTCTTCAATTTTTCCATCTCAACACGACTCATTCGGTAAAGAGCAACTGAAATCAGTTGGGTACTAGGCTAAAGATTTATGGTAAATTCAACTTCTCTATCTGCTGGCAGTCTTGGTAGTTCATCAGAGAATACGTCCGAAAAATCTCATACCACAAGAATCTCTTAAATGTAAGTTTTTTTCTTAAGTTTGCCTAACATAAAAAAATAACTAGGTTAAAGCATCAGATAAACAATGCAGTCACTATGAGAGAATAATATCTAAAAATTTTATTAATTTATGAATGACTCTTTGTTATGAAGGTTTAATACAAGCTTCTTATGAAAATAATTCACGGTGGCATAATACGTCATTAACCAGTTCATTCTCAAAATTACATCAAAATCTCTCATATCTAATGTTATCAGGTCTACACTTAATTTTTTACTTGCTATTTCTACGATATGAGCTTTGTATATGACATTCCCTAATAATGTTTTATTCCCAAGTGTAGACACAAGCAATACAGAATTAAGACTTTTAGATAACACATTCAAATTTTTCACAAAAGTATGCAAAACAAAAAAAAAATGTGAAGTACCAGTATCAATTAAAACATGTGCAAGGTAGTTACAGATAGTGTACGTACTTGGTATCACGTCCAGGTAGGCTTCAGTTTCTCGTTGGGTAAAGGTATAGGTTCTGCCCTGAATTGGAGGTCTGGTCTGATTATAATTTCGCGGACACTCTCTCGCATAGTGCTAGACACTTTCACATATACAGCGGGTATTGTTGAAGTGATAGCAGGGTCTGTCCCCATGGTTCTTGCCACAGTGCTGGTAAGTCATATTGTATCCTATTATCGATGCTTGAGGAGGAGCTTGAGTCGCGGGCCTAGATCTCTTATTCTACTGAATTGGTACAGTAGATACTGACCTACGATGTGGGATTAGGGGCCTGGGATTGCCCATTACTTGAGGAAAGATGCGGAGGTTCGTTTCTATCAGTTGTTCCTTGGGTAAAATTACTGAGTAGGTCTTGAGGTCATTTACATACAGTTGTTGTCTGATCTCAAGATAGAGGCCCCACTCAAACTTTCTTATCTTTCTGTCTTTGTCCATCATGCTCTTCGGAGAGTATCTGCCCAAGTTCAAGAATTTTCGGGCATACTCAGACACTGTCATATCGTCCTAGATTCGATGTGCAAATTTCATCTCCTTCAAATGCCGAAGGTGCTCTACGAGGTACTCCGCATTGAAAGCTAGCATAAACTGTTCTCAAGTGACCGAAATGGGTAGAGTGGTCTGTTTCAGTTGCTACCAATGACCTGCCTCACCTACGAGTATATAAGTAACAAGTATGACCTACTCTGTCTTTGTTAGCTAGTACTTAGCTTCTTCAAAAATGAATAATTCTGTAAAAGTAGATGAGTTAAGTCTCTTGTACCTCTCAATGTAGTCTGAGTCCATCATAGGTGGAACTGGGTCCTATTGGAGAGGAATTGGATTATGTTGGGGAGGAACTGGGTGACCCTGTGGCGGCACTTGGTTGTATGGTGGAGGCACCAAATTGTACTGTGGCAGTGTCAGATGATACGGTAGAGGAGCAGGGTTGTAGTAGGGTGCACTGGATCTTTCCATTGCATGGGTGGCTCATACTGTGACAGGGGTGGAAGGTCAAGTAGCTCCCTCCTCTCTTTCCTGGCATGTCAGGCAGAAATGAGTCTCTCCAGCATCTCAAAGAGCCAATCGACATCCTCTCAAAAGCTACCCATCCCGGGCTGCTCTGTTCAGTGGGGGGCTTTCCTCTTCTCATGTCTTTGTACATGTATTTCATAAAGAAAAGTCGAGTGTTGGGCTGTATTAAATCATTTTAAGTTGAGTATCAGGTTGTATTGAATGATTCTAATCTTTATGCAAAAAATAGTTTCGAGAAACGTGGCTTTGATACCAACTGTAAAGAACCAATACTCAATAGAAAAGAAAATATTGAATTCATAAGATAATAGTGAAAGCAGTTGAGAGTTTAGGATTTATATTCTTTACATAGTAAACTTGAAATGTCCAATAAGGCTATGAAAATGTCCTTTTGTGGAAGTTAAAATAACGAAAATAAAAATGTAACTATAATCCTATAGGGTTAACCTCCGCTAGGCAACTCTAATAGGATGCGGAATGCAATTTTTAGTAGCAACTTTCTTGTTGTTCAGGATCCTGATCTTGGTATTCTTGATCTAAAATGGTTAAATAAGGAGGATGAGCTACATTAGCTCAGTAAAAATGTCAACATTTATCACCGATACGAAAAATCAAATGTTGGTAAAAATTATAAAATAACCAATGGAACCATTTTTTAAAAATAAATTCATTTAATATAAAAACATAAGTTTTAAACCTATTTTTTTAAGTTCCCAAAATCGGCATATGAAGGCAATAATCAGGATAACAATTTATGTAAATGATCAATAATAGTAAACATTATCTTTTTATCTATATATCGGTACCTATAGGGGTTTATAGGGGTTCTTCCTACGCGTGGATCCAATATCCAATTTACCAATTAACCAACCGTGCTCATACCTCGTCTGATAATGGATGCCAAGACGTACCACTGTTTCAATAGCCCATCCAGTATGAGGTGAACAATATTTTCCAACCCTTTCTTATATGGGACTTCTCAGCTCCGTTCGATTGAGATAATGTCCATGATAGGGTTTGCCCTATGTACTCGGTCCGTACACCTTTTTTTATGATATCTGGTAAGCCTTTTATACACATTGTCACATTATTAACTAACTACTAATTACACACAAATATTTCATATTTACAGATCTATGGAATAACATTTTGAACAGATAATATAAATTGATTCTATAACAATTAAGAAAAACGTGATCATAACATTTATTTCAAATTAATCAACAAATGAGAATAACGGTTAAGTAATTAACAACGAGATGTCAAATAAATCTATGAATTACAATGCATGTGGTAAGCAAATAAATACATTCTAACAATAGATATATAGGTGAAATAAGCAATTTGTACTAACCGATCACCGACTCCATTAGTGACCTGTATTTAATTGATTAGAAATTTCTAATATTCATAAATTACATCGTTATTATTTACTAAACTTTAATTGACCATAATAGTAAAAAAAGAGTGAAGGATTCTTACTCCAGGTCAGTGTTCGAAATACTACCTCTTTCACTGTGCTTTCTGGTGGTTCTTGGGTTTCTTGAATTTTTTCTGCGGAAATCAAAAACACGCGTCACATATTCTAAAATACCCTAAAAAGGCTAAAAATAAGCATTTATAATTTTTTCGACCAGTTTAGGGTTCCGGCACAGCGGCTCCGACGCCCATGGCAGCGTCTCCTGTCGATCTAACCGGTTTTGGCTAGTTTTGCCGGTTTTGCATGAAAACCTGCAAAAAATAAGGTTAGACGGACTTTGTTAGTCGATAAAGGAAAAACTCGAGGCATTATCGGTGGAAGAGTTTTCTGGTGCAGCGGCTTTGCTTTCCTCTCTCCCAGTCGGGGATTCTCTTTGGTCAACCTGCACCAGAAAAGGGTTAGGGACACAATGGTCGAAAGATAGAAGGGAATGGAAAATGGGAAAGGGCTCACCGGAGCGATTTTTGGATTGTAAACGCAGCAGCTCGACCGAGTTTCGCCCTTGATTTTTGGCTTTTCTTTTGGCCTGTTGGCTCCAATATGGGTGTGGGGAGGCTTGAAATCGAATTTTGAATGAAATTAGGGAAAAAAATTACCTTCCGGTGTCGGCGGTGGCTCTAATGCGATGGCAATGGTGGTTGGTTTTCTTTCCAGCCGCCCTTCATCTTCTTCTCCAGTGAGGACAGATGCGTTTAGGGTTAGGGTTCCCTGGGATACGATGCTTATATATCCCCCTTCTGGTGTTGATCTTGGTCGTCCGTGTAAGGATACGTGGCCATCTCTTATCCATTGGATCGCTCTTAAGAAGGGAACGAATCTGGATCGTTCGTGCGCGCAAGATGGGATCTGAGCCATTAGATCTGCTGACACGTGGATCGTCCGCGTAGACACGTATCCACGTGTTTGTCACGCGACGCACGGTGACTGACTGCACTGTTGATGTGGCGGTCCACGTGGCCAAATTTTTATTATTTTCGCTTTTATCCCAATTTTTTAAATTTTTTTCAAATAAATCCTTCTTTATTTCTATTTTAACCCTAATTTTTGAAAATATTTTCAAATGCATTCAAAACACATTTTTTTAAAAAAATTAATAAAAAATTAAAATTAAAATTTTTAATTTATTTTATTATTATAATTTAATTATCCCGAACTTAAATGTCGAGTCCGGATATTTCATTATGTGTTCTCGTTAGAAAGTTGAATTACTATTAATGTTAAATTATATGAATGTTTGTGTTCTAATATAATACTTACACACATTTTCAAAAAAATTGGGAAAACAACCCACTTAATGCAATGTCATTATCGGGTCGGGCACACAACTTTGGTTCTTCCTTCAAATGGCAGCCAATCTCTCTTTCCCACTAAACATGATTGCTAATTACATCAAATTTTACATTCATTAAATTATATATATATAGAATTACCTGCTCCCTAAATTTACCAAAAATAATTTTTGGGCACCAGTCACCATGTTTATATCAAGTATTTTAGCCCCATCTTCAGATAAAATACAATAGGAATCATCTGAAAGATCAAACTCAATCTTGGCTGCTATGATTAACTCTTCCATGGTGTTTGGTACCCACATTAGAATTCCCTCTTTTCTCCCTTCTGGATCCCATGGGTGATAAGCAAACACACTGCACTTCTTTTTCTCCATTGATGCACCTTCACTTCGTCTCCCACAATTGGAAATCTCAGAATTTCTAGCAGCTTCAAGCAGCTTGATCAAACCCTTGTTCCCCCCCATACGTGCTTCATCAATTGGAGAATTCCCCCACCTGCACCAACAAATCTTACCTACTGGTTTTGATTTTGTTTTGGCATATACATGAAAATGTAGATACATACATATAGTACATGTATACCTGTCCTTTGAGAGAACACTGCCGCCAGCTTCTAAAAGTAAACTTGCCATTGAATATAACCCTTCTGCAGCAGCAACATGAAGAGCTGTTCGATAATCGTAATTTTTAGAATTCGGATTAATCCCATTGGCCAAAACTCTCTTCAGCAAATCACAATCCCTTTTTGCAACGATCATGCAGAGAAAACAACCAGCATCATCAATTTTCAATGATGCTCCTCCTCTAACTAGTAAATCGACCACTTGATCATTCCCATTCCTGATAGCCTCAAGCAAGGGAGTATTTCCAAACTTATCTGATATCGAAAATTGCAACACTACTTAATATCAAAGTATTCATTTAGAAGATCAAATCCAAGTATTTTACCTGCAATATTTACATCCAATCCTTGTTCAATAAGGAATTCAGTAATCTTTTCATACCCCCTTGATGCAGCAATATGCTGCAAAGAATCAAAGAGTGATAAATGTGTTAATGATTGAGAACAAGATAGAATTGTTGGTGAAGTAATTTGTTCAAAGTGGGTTAAGGAAAGTACAAGAGGAGATCTTCCATCATAATCTCTCTTGCTTGGATCTGCTCCTGCTTCGATTAAGCGTTTCAGTTGATAAAAATCTCCTTCATGAGCAGCACAATTCAATCTCATAACCAGCTCTAACTCATGCTTCACAATAGAAAGGCTAATGTCTGATTCCAACACTTTGTTCTGTAAATTGGAGTCCTTTCCCTGCAACCCACAACCAGTAGTGTCAAGCTGATGCTAATTAGTCAATCCAATTGTTCATATATGAGAGAAAGTAAGAAACTTTATTTGACGGACCAAACTGGAGCTGGATAATTCACCTCAAGTAGGTTGTTCAAGACAATTCTTCCATCCAAAAAGTATATCTCCAGGATCTCGGTGAAAGATTGCTTATCGATTCGTAAGATTCTGCAGAATTCGCGGGCTTTAATGGTGCAAGAATGGGGAAGGTTGCAGAGAAAAGAAATTTCCCCAACTAAGCTGTAGGCATGTAGACGCATAAGAAAATCTTCTGCTTCATCATCTGCCCCTCTTCCTTCTACCTCCTGCTTACCAAATGGAAATGATCAAGTCTTGGCAGTGCATAAATTTGCCATAAAATGAAGATGTTGAATAAACACAGACATGTTTGATAAAGCATGAAATCCTTACCAGTTCACCATGACAGACAATGTAAAGTTGGTCCACCACCCTTCCTTGTTCTATAATCACTTCTCCTGAGAGAAAAAATTCTTCGTGGACTCTAATTGCCTGTTGAATCAGAAGATTGAACAAGACTCTATTCCATGACTTAGAAAGAAGCATTACATGTTTATCTAAATGGAATAGCTTACAATCTGCTTAATGAATCCCAATGAGCAACCCTTGAAAAGAGAGACTTGTTTAATAAGTGGCTCATATAACTTCTCCGAGATCTACAAAACCGGAAAGTACAAGATTGTTAGAAATTGAGTAACTTAGTGAAGTGCATTAGGTCTATTGGAAGTACTTTAGAGCGGATGGAGACAGGAATATCCTGAAGAACCGCAGTCTCAGTGTATCGACGATCATACTGCAACCGTAAATGATTCTGGATCTGTTTTGTTATTCCCCTTTCAAGATTGTTCCTACCCATGTATTTTCTAAGTTCAGTCATTTTATCTCGAAACCTTTCAGTCTTTGATCCTTTTACTATCAACGCAGTCATGTTACCGAGTAGGTAAGCACCAAGAATCATATCAAACGAGACATAAACCATCACAAATATCATCTCCCTTACATTCACTGCATGTATATCTCCATAACCTGCATTAACAGAAACCCTATATTAACAATCAAGAGTTTAGCAGAGAAGAAACAGAGTGATTTGCAGGGAGAGAAAAGAAAAGTTACCAACAGTTGCCATGGTCACAATAGCGAAATAAAGTGATGTAATGTAACGCTTCCAAAGATCGATGTGTCTGAAATTTGAGTAACTAAAACCTCCCATCTTTAAACTTCCAATCCATGTGAAACCTTCTTCTGAAGCAGGCAAAGTAGTAGCAAGATAGTAGAAAATGCAGGCAGCTGTATGTGTACAGTAGAGTTCAACAACAATGAGTTTTACAATTCTTGTAAAGAGATAATTGATTCGTATGTCTTTCTCCAATTTCTCAAAAAATTCCGTCACTCTTACTGCTCGACTTAGCCTGATCCATAATAGGTATCTCACAGGCTCTTTTCCTCCACAAGCCTGTTTCAAGAAGACGAATCGAGATCATGATCATCACAAGAAAAATGTTGATTCAGAGAAAAGTGCTAGAGCGACATGCTAAATGTATTCTTGTAATGGACTAATCAGGAAAATTTAGATCCAGAAAGAAGAAAGTTTTAATTTTCGTACAAGAATGGACTATGGGATTACACGACTGATCGAAACAGAGAGGCAGCCGTGGAAATAACTCACCTTGAAGATAGCATCCCATGGTAGACAACCCAGCAAATCAACTGAAAACCGAGATTTCAAGTATCTAGATTCCAATACATGATAAGTAACTAACAAGATCAGATAAAGGATATATGTAACAAGTTACGAAAATGACCGGAGGGCAATTAGCTTGCGGTTGTAGACCATGCGGTAGGAGTGTGTGTCTCGATAGGCAAGGAGAAAGTGCACGACAATGTCAATGAGGAAGGCAAACTGTCCAGCTATGTCAAGGAGGAAAAGATCCTCCGGTAAGCCTCTGAAGAACCCGAACTCCATGGGAGTGAAGAATGACGAGTAAATCGCCCATAGGAGTATAAAGTTTGTCCATAAAACATACCACCTGCAATTTGAAATCACAGTCCGAGATTAACAACAATAAACAGAAAAACCCAGAGACAAACAGAGAAGGAGTCAGAGAAATAGAAATGAAACAGAGATAAAACAGAGATGAAACAGATAAAGACAGAGATGAACAGAGAAAAAACAGAGAGAGAAAATAAGCCACGGTTACCAATTATCAGGATGAATGACAAAATGCTTCAATTGGGAACGTGAAGCTCCTCTGCTTCCACTCACAATGTCTCTTCCGACGCTGGGATTTTCGGAGGATTCAGTTCTGCACATCACGGAGAAAAGCCTTTTCCATGACGATTTTCGTGATTCCTCGAGCTCCCTCTCAACTTCATACTCTTCTCCCTCGAACTCCTCCCTGTCTCTCCTCCCTTCTTCATGCACCATTATCCTCGACAACCAATAATCCTAGCACAGAAGTAGTTTCTTGAAGCTAAACAAGAAAGAAATCGGAGAGTCTCAGCACACTCAATTAGATTTCAAGCGGGTAAGCTTTCTTTACAAGACTCGATTAATATACAAAGCTCAAGATTTAATGGTGAAATTCTTGGCATCTGCTAAAAATGTATTCCAGAATTTAAGAACAGTAGCATGTGCCGACAAAGAGCATCTGAGACAAGCAAATCTCTGAAATATTTGTTTGATCATCCATGTTTATGAGGTTGACATTACAGTCTAGAAATAAAATAGATGTTTAAATGCTCTTTTTGATAATTAATTATTATTAACTTCCCTAATTTAGTGCTATAATCTTCTGAAAAAAAATAATAATTTATCTGTAAATCGTTTCTGATTCCCATTAGATTTTGATACTTTTTTTTAGATTATCCAGAAGTTCATGGAGTTTGAATCTACTGTCTCGAAAAAGAAATATCACAGAAAGTTCAAAACTTTTATGAGAACTTTATTCACTTTTAGGTGATTAATGATCGCCCGTGGGGTACCCGATCTCTATTTTACTTTTAGAATTCAGTTGATAATTTATTTAATCCAAAAAATTTAACTAAGAATTATAAATTCTCTTATTCAAATTGAAACTAAGCTGTGGAAATTAAATTTTTAGAAGCCCTTTAGGTTTTTTTTTTTTAATTAATTAATTATTTTTATTTTGAAAAAAAAATAAGTCATGTATAAAAATATCCGAATAAGAATAAATCTAATATGAAAGGAGAATCGGCGGATAAAATTCGTCCTTATTTGCGAAGAGGTAGAAGAAATAATTTTCGAGCATGTGATTATCGTCTAAATCAATTGAATCCGCATAAGCACATGCATTTTAAATGCTAGATATATACGTCTCTATCTTCTTCAAATTATTAGAAAACTACACGATTTATGAATGTGTTATATGAATTATGGTAGAATTGGAACTAGCCGATTTTTCAAAAAAAGCGAGTTAATTCATCTAGTTTAGTAGTTTTTATGTGGAAAAATATACCGAATGTTAGTAATTTACTATTTTTTTTAACTCTATCCTAAAAGGAATAGATAAAATTAAATACAGATAAATCGTTTGTTAATAAAATATAGCATAGCTCGAAATAATATGTTGATAAAAGTACGTAACGATTTTTACTACATTATTATTTATTAGAAGCTACCTTGAAAGATTTGTAAAATTAGTCATAACTCGTAAGTAGTTAACATAGGAAGATTCATGTATTTAATCATTGCTCATAAATTAGTTAATCTATTACTATTTTTTTAATGATTATTTTTTAATCTTTTCAAAGAAAATTAGTTTTTTATATTTAATTTAACTGTTATATAGTATTTTTTTTTTTTTACGATATATATTATATCCGAATGTAAAACATACTCATATCGAATCGTTTAGATTAGATCTGAAAATAAAAGTGTAGCTGAATTCATACTGAAAGAAATTTACACGTCATGCGGTAAATTCGCTAAATTAATACATGATCTTTTAGAGTTCTCACATTTTTCTCTATTTCTGGTGACGTAATAACAAAATATAAAAACTCTAAGTATGATTTAGAAATCATAATTGATTTTTTTATGTTCTTAAATTTTTATTATTTTTAATTTAGTCTATCATAAAATAATAAATAATATTTTTAGTCTCTATCCATAAAAAATTCATATTTTACTTGATGCATTAAATTTTAATATCTGTTTAAACTTAACATATCATATTTTAACCGTATCTAATTAAACTTATAGTTATTTATGCACAATAAACTCACATATAAATTCACACGGTGGATCAAAATTCAACAAATCAATTTTGGTTTTAGATAATTGACATCAATGTAACAAACTGTAGAAATCTTTATTATAAAATTAAAATGTAAAAATATTACTTTTTAATTTCTATTATGTTTATATGATATTTTTAATTTTTATTTGATCAAATTATAAAGAAGAATGGGTGGGCAAAACACGACAAAATAGCATTGCCGAGTATACACGTTAATTTTTATATGAAAATATTATTCAGAATTTATATGCTAATTAGACAGTTTAGATGATATATGGGAAATATATAATTACTTTTGAGATTATTAGAAATACTTTATTAATATACAAACATAGTATTATTAATATTTATAAATCTGAGTAATATATAAATATTGAATTTATTTTCCCTAATTATTTTCTGCCAACCCAAGAGAGAGAGAGAGAGAGAGAGAAAAAGCACGTTTTACATTCAGACGCCATGCTTGGCATTGGACGCACGTATCAACCCAAACCCAAGATTGCAAGAAAGAAGCAACGGCCAATTAAAATTAACAAATTGCTAAAATATAAAATTATATACATACATACATACATATATATATACACACAAGTGGTGTATAACCCCTTAAGTCGATCACGGACATGGCATCGTTAAGAGTAATGCTTAAATATTGTATATAGTTTTAAAATATATTTCCCAAGTACCCAACCAAATGCCACTCTACCATATTATATTCACATTAATATTTCAAATTGGCCAATTTGAAATCCAACTCCATAGTTTTTTATACGTTGCAAGCTTTAAAAAAAAAAAAAAAAACATATATTTACACCACCAAGCTTGGACCGACCTTATCTGTCATCTTTCTTTTTCGAATATTCACCAGTTCGATCAGCCAACGAAAAAAACATATATATATATAATATAATATAATATAATCTTACATTATTCCATCATGATATATATCACCACTTGCTACGCCAACATTATATGGTATTTACAATATTATATTTACGAATTGGGTTTGTTGTTCAATTATAAAAAATTATGATTGTTCTCAAATCATCAAGTATATATTACAGATGTTGTTTTCTTAAAGCTCTATTTTTTTTCTTATCTTATGATCACAAGATTCCAATTAATTAATGGTTAATTTGTTATAAAGTCGGTACTCTCTTAATAATACAAATTAAGAAGAGTCCGCACTAATTAAGTGGGAAAGATCAAAAGGATTACGGTAAATAAAGAGGACTAATTAGCGTCACTAACAGAGATTAAGAGTAATAATAAATCAAAACCCCCCCCCCCCCCCCATGGTTTACTACTAGTCAAAGTACCCCGGCTCCTTAAATATTATTTGTTAAAATAAAAATATAATAATTTAAATTAATAAATAATAAATAATAAATAAAAAAAGCAAAAGGATAATGGCGGGCTGAATTATTAATTATATAAAAATTACACGAGGGAAAATAATAAAATAATAGGAAAGTGGACCCCACAACCCCTCCATCCTTTCACCTTCCTTAATCCTCCACTAATCACTGCAGCCAGCGAGCCGGCACTTACTCCACGTGCTTTTATTTTATTTTCCACTTATATAAACCCCTTACCTCTTCCACTTCAATTTTTCATCTCCCTTCTTCTCAGAAAAATCAATGGCAGTAGTTCGGAATCGACGCCCTTTCAACCTCCGTCTTCCTCTCCCCGAGACTTTTGACCGCCGTCCCTGCTTCAACCCTCCACTTCCTCCAACTGCAACCACCACTGCTTCCTCTGGTTCCGGCACGGCCGTAGCCTACTCCGATCTTGAAAAGATCAACGTTCTCGGCCATGGAAATGGTGGAACCGTCTACAAGGTTCGGCATAAGCGTACTTCTAAACTCTACGCTCTCAAAGTTGTCCATGCCGACACTGATTCAACGATTCGCCGCCAGATTTTTAGAGAAATGGAAATCCTTCGTCGTACCGATTCGCCTCATATTGTTCGTTGCTATGGAATCTTCGAGAAGCCTTCCGGCGATGTCGAGATTCTCATGGAATACATGGGCGCGGGCTCCCTCGATACTCTTCTTCACGCCAAGGGTACGTTCTCCGAGGACCAATTGGCACGAGTGGCTCGTCAAATCCTTTAAAGGCTTAAGTTATTTGCACGCTCTTAAGATCGTGCATCGAGACATCAAGCCCTCGAATCTGTTGGTGAACGCGAACATGGAAGTGAAGATTGCAGACTTCGGCGTCAGCAAAATCATGTGCCGCTCGCTCGATTCCTGTAACTCCTATGTGGGTACCTGTGCTTACATGAGTCCGGAAAGGTTCGATCCCGACAGTTGTGGCGGAAACTATAACGTGTACGCCGGAGACATTTGGAGTTTGGGACTGACGTTACTGGAGCTCTACGTGGGTCACTTCCCCTTCCTTCCGGCGGGTCAAAGACCCGATTGGGCGACGTTGATGTGCGCAATCTGTTTCGGAGACCGACCCAGTCTGCCGGATGGTTCGTCGGAGGATTTCCGAAGTTTCATCGAGTGTTGTTTGCAGAAAGAATCGTCGAAGAGGTGGACGGCGTCGCAGCTCTTGACCCATCCGTTTCTGAGTAAATATCCAGCTTCGGAATCTTGAACCCGAAAGAAGATCCAAATATCCAATTTTCGAAAAGTTTCCGGATATCGGGTGGATCCCATTAATAGGTTAATTCGGTTCTTTTTTGTATATTCGGGTTGGATAATTAGCAATCCTCGTGTACATTCTCATTGAGGCAATTAATTTTTTTTATTAAATTTCCTCAATTGAAGCTAAATCATGATATCGTCGTATAATTTTCTGAGGTTTTAAATTCAATAAATTAGTTTATCGAAAAAGAGTAATTAAATAATTAATTCAGTTGCACGAGTGACACGTGCTTTAATCATAACGGTTAGTGGGTGATAAGATTTTTGATTAATTTTAGTTTAATCGGTGATTAGTTAGTTAGTTCTTGGAAGATTCCTTCGCAGTGCAAGTTGCGGGTGGTGACGACAAAATAAATAATTAAGCGGACAAGTTTCGGGTCGTTCTCGCAGTCAACCGGTATACTGGTGGGACCGGGCAGTTGTCCGGTTGATGGAAGTTGATCAACGGCTGATGATTCGCTCGGAGGATGTTGCGTATATATATAATGTATGGTGTGTGTGCATACATAACAAGTAATAAATGAAAATGGATGGGGATGGAAATGTGTCAAAATCAGTAGAAGGTTTGGATGCATGAACGTGGAAGCTTGTTGTCACGGTAATTGTGATTAATTATGATGCCACTAGCAAAACAAGTAGCTCGTTTCATCGCTTACGTCAACAATGACATGTGCAACTTGAACTTCGGATCAATTAATTTTTAGTTCATAATTTTTATTTCCCAAAATAATATTCATATTTAGAGCTCGAATTATCCATGTGAGGTGGATTAAAAAAAAAAAAAAAAAAAGGAGTTTCTAGTTATAATCCATAAATAATTTTAATTTTATATTTTACGTAAACGTAAGATTAAAATAGTTGATAAAGTAATTGAAAGACACGATAATAAAAATACAATCTCTAAAATTCTATCTAAATAAAATATGTCTTATTTGTAAAACAAAATTAATTTGTACATTTACAACAATATCATTGTTACTTATTATTATATAATTATAATTTATTTTTTTTCAATTAATACAAAATACTTAAATATTAATGCGTTTTGCAACACTCCTGTTAAAACATATGTTAAAATTACAACACCCGTCAACGCATAATTTTTAT